ACTCTACCACCATCAACTTGTTTTCTTCATAGCACCTATCACAGTCTGAATTGTCTTACTGTTTATGGCCTTACCTATCCCTAAAACTCATTTAAAAATGTAAGCATGAAAGAAGGAACTTTGTCTATCTTGTTCATTGCTGAATCCACAGTGCCTAGAATAGTGCCAATAAATACTTGTTAAATGAACAAGTGTTTTTTATTTATTTATTTATTTATTTTTGGAGATGGGGTCTTGCTGTCACCTAGGTTGGAGTGATTAGCTCACTGCAGCTTTGGCCTTGCTCTGGTGATCTTCCTGCTTCAACTGCTGGAGTAGCTGTTACCACAGGCTCACACCACCAAACCCGCCTAAGTTTTTCTTTTTTTGTGTGTGGAGATGGAGTCTCTGTATGTTGCCCAGGCTGCTTTTGAACTTCTGGGCTCAAATGAGTTTCCTACCTTGGCTTCCCCAAGTGCTGGGATTTATAGGCGTGAGCCACCACACCCGACCTAAAACTTTTCACAAATCTCCAACTTTATTTCACTCACACCCCCAAGGAAATAACCAAGAAGACATTTAACAAGAAGCAGTTTATTATACAAAATGAAACCTGAGATAATAGAAAGTAACAACACTTGCAGTAATAAAGGAATCAGCCTTGTACTCCACCTCCACACTCCAGCAGTATAATTAAAACAGATTCCTATCAGACACTTCTAACACCCATAATGCCAACCTGCAGTGAGTATACCCCAAATCAGAAAATTCATGTTGCTTGCTTTCTCCATAGGGAAAGTGAAGCTTTCAGTTAATAAGTATCATGTGGCTATTCCTGGTTCTACTTTCTTTTGTGGAAATGTAACACCTGGTTTACACTGCTCTTTTGTGAGTACTTATATGGTGATAGGAATAAAGGAGAAGGTCTGGGAAGCACCAAGCACAAAGCAGGACTGAGTCTCCAGCAACAGTTATTCAAAAACTGCTGCCACTTTATATGTAAAAGTACCAAAGGAATGCCAGTGTAAGCTTGTGTAATTAGACAGGAGAGGTAAGGATAATTCTATACCTTGCTTAACCATCACTTAACCTTTTTACTGCACAAAATGAAATTAAGTCCTAACCTAGGTCTATACTTGTGTAATACATATTATGCACTGTAAATCAGCATCTGCATTTAGATAGATTGCAAGCTTAGAAATCAGTTCTGCATTTGACTTGTCAGTGCCTACTATATAAAATTTTAACATTTTTTTTTTTAAGACCGGCATCTCACTACATTGCCCAGTGGCTACTCACAGGCACACTCACAGCATATTACAGCCTCAAACTCTCGGGCTCAAGCAATCTTCCTGCCTCAGCCTTCTGAAGATATATTTTTGAAGGCATTTTGTTTTGTTCTGTTTTGTTTGAGACAGGGTCTCACTCTGTCACCCAGGCTGCAGTGCAGTGGCAATCCTCCCACTTCAGCCTTCCAATTACCTGGATCTACAGGCACACACACCATGCCCAGCTAATTTTTTTGTTTTTTGTAGAGATGCGGTTTTGCCATGTTGCCCAAGCTGGTCTTAAATCCCTGGGCTCAAGTGATCCTCCCACCTTGGCCTCCCAAAATGCTGGGATCGCAGGCATGAACCACTGCACCTAGCCTGAAGGTCTGCCTTCCCTCTTGTTCTTTTCTGCAAAAGGTCAAACAGGATAAGCAAACTTTCCATAATTTATGAAGACCATCTTTTATTAAAGGATTAAATGATCCAGTCTAGTGCCTTTGGTGATAAAAGAAAAAAAAAAGGATTAAATGAGAAAAGAAGAACTTTGGTAATGAAATTCAGCCTAATTACAACTTTTCTTGGCCACATCCTTAGATGTCAGTATATTAAATGTGGACCCTAGTTGTTGAAGCATCTAATGTAGTATCTACCTATATAGATAGATATGTAGATGTAGGTATAGATATATATTGATAAGCTATGGAACTTCTCTTGTGATAACTCATTAATACATTACAACTAGAGTAGCTGTAAGGTCCAAGGTATTCTTTCCTGTTCCACTGCCCCAGAAAGAACTAATGGTCTTCCTGCTCATTAGACTGTATGTTCAAACCACAGCAATAGAAGGGTTTGACTGCATCCCCAAATCTGACTAAGCTTTTTATTTAGCCAGCCACTTGTGGCTTAAATCTCTTGTCTTTTTCTCTCCTGGATTACATCCTTCTGGATTCTCTCAGTCAGTGTGAGAGGCGCTTTCCTTCCCTAATTTTCCCTCTCTGGGAACCCTTTTCACTCAGTGTGAAATTGCCTTTTCTTTCTCCTCACTCAGTGTGAGAGTGAGCTGTTTCCCCTTCTTTTTTCTTTCTCTGCCTAAATGAATCACTTTCTGCCAAAAAAAAAAAAAAAAAAAAAAAAAAAGTAGTCTCAGGCCAGGCACGGTGGCTCACACCTGTAATCCCAGCACTTTGGGAGGCCGAGGTGAGTGGATCACTTTAGGTCAGGAGTTTGAGACCAGCCTGGCCAATATGGCAAAACCCCATCTCTACTAAAAAAATAAATAAATAAATAAAAAATTAGCCAGGCCTTGGTGGCATGTACCTGTAAAGCCACTCTGGGGGCTGAAACACAAGAATCGCTTGAACTGTGGAGGCAGAGGCTGCAGTGAGTCCAGATCGCACCATTGCACTCCAGCATGGGTGACAGAGTGAGGCTCTGACTCAAAAAAGGGGAGGGGGACAGGGGCCAGGCGCAGCAGCCCATGCCTATAATCCCAGCACTCTGGGAGGTCGAGGCAGGTGGATCACCTGAGGTCAGGAGTTTGAGACCAGCCTGGCCAACATGGTGAAATCTCTACTAAAAATATAAAAATTAGCTAGGCATGGTGGTGGGTGCCTGTAATCCCAGCTACTCAGGAGGCTGAGGCAGGAGAATTGCTTGAACCTGGGAGGCAGAGGTCACAGTGAGCCAAGATCACGCCATTGCACTCCAGCCTGGGCGACAAGAGTGAAACTCCGTCTCAAAAAATAAAAAAGGGTCGGGCGTCGTGGCTCACGCCTTTAATCCCAGCACTTTGGGAGGCCAAGGTGAGTGAATCACGAGGTCAGGATCGAGACCATCCTGGCTAACAAGGTGAACCCCTGTCTCTATTAAAATTACAAAAAATTAGCCAGGCACAGCTACTCAGGCGGCTGAGGCAGGAGAATTGCTTGAACCCGGAAGGCAGAGGTCGCAGTAAGCCAAGATTGCACCACTGCACTCCAGCCTGCCAGCATGGGTGACAGTGAGACTCTGTCTCAAAAAAAAAGTCATATGGAAGTGCATCAGTAATCCACTTTATGCACGGTATGTATTGCTTTATGCACTGTGAATGAATCTGGACTATTCTTGCACTTAAAGTGAAAAGTGCTACAGATTATGAGATAATCACTAAAACATACTGCTACACTGTTTCTGTAACTGCAGAAGATGGAACTTTGTAGCATATAAAAACAACAAAATAGAGGGAACAGTTCATTAGGCAAACAGAAAAGAATTAGGACCCACAAAAACTGGTACTTTTTTTCCTGGTTTTTTCTTTTTTTTGGTCAACCTACTAAATGAAAAATTTGCACTTTGACTCATAGTAGCCTATTTTAACATTTCAAAGTCACTTAAAGGAAAATATGACTTTTTCTGCCATAATTCCCAGTATTAGTCTCCATCTTTGGTCAAAAAAGGGGACAGGGCAATACATTAAATTGACAAGGCATATAATAGCCACTGAATCTTTCTGTTCATGAGAAGGAATTCCAGATATACCATAAATAGGATGCAAACCAGCAGTAAGAATGATGGCAAGGTTTCTGTATTTCAGAAATTGTGGGAAAGGGCCTTAAACCAGGAAAGACAAGTCCATTTAAAAATATATATTTATTTTAAGACTGTCTTGCTCTGTCACTGAGGCTGGAGTACAGTGGTATGATCATAGCTCACTGCAGCCTTAAATTCCTGGGCTCAAGTAATCCTCCTGCCTCAACCTCCCAAGTAGCTACGGCTACAGGTGTGCACAACCGTGTCCTGCTAATTCTTTTATGTTTTGTAGAGACAGGGTCTTGCTATGTTGCCCAGGATGGTCTCAAACTCCTGGCTTCAAGCAGTCATCCCTCCTTGGCCTCTCCAAGTGCTGGGATTACAGGCATAAGCCACTACACCTGGCCAGAAAAAGCCTTTTAAAAAAAAAAATTAGGGCTGGGTGAGGTGGCTGATACCTGTAAACCCAGCACTCTGGGAGGCCAAGGTGGATGGATTGCTTGATCCAGGAGTTGGAGACCAACCTGGGCAACATGGCAAAACCTCATCTCTACAAAAAATATGAAAAGATAAAGTAAAATAAAAGTTTGACATGAAAGCAAAGTACATAATATAAAAAATGCAATCCCGGAAAACCAGAATACTATCCACCAGAAGTTTTGCTTCTCCACTGACATAACAATTTATAAAGCAGACGAGGAAAAAAGATTATTGGGAAAAGTACTTAATAATGAGGAGTTTGGGGAACAGAATAGAAGTTATAAGTCGTAACCTGACCCATCTTACTTCACTGGTAGTCATATACAATTGAAAGGCTGAAACAACAAACAAAACAACAAAACAACAAAATATATATATATATATAAATAAAAAAAATGAAAGGATGAAACAGAGAAGTGAGTCCTTTAAAACCTCTCTTGGGGCTGGGCGCGGTGGCTTACGCCTGTCATCCCAGCACTTTGGGAGGCGGAGGCAGGTGGATCACGAGGTCAGGAGCTCAAGAACAGCCTGACCAACATGGTGAAAGCCTGTCTCTACTAAAAATACAAAAATTAGCCAGGTGTGATGAAGCGCGCCTGTAATCCCAAACTATTCAGGAGGCTGAAGCAGGAGAATTGCTTGAACCCGGGAGGCGGAGAGTGCACTGAACCAAGATCACACCACTGCACTCCAACCCGGGGGGATAGAACGAGACTCCATCTGAAAACAAAACAAAACAAACCAACTCTGTTGGACCAGCACCTTGAATCAAATGGATGTTTTAAGCTTCTATTTCCCAATGAACCAAGAATTGTATGTCTTTATCTCTCCTTGAGGAGAAGCCCTATGTTAGACCTTGGCTACTCATCATTAAGATAAAATCTTAATAGATAAAACTAGGATTCCTTGAATCCATGAAAAGACAGTGTCCATTAAGGGTTTGTGAGGTGGATGCTCCTTATGTCCTACGGTAGAATAAAATCCCCTTAGCTCCACCAAGTTAAACGCTCTTGCAAGGGCACTTAGAGATGTTGCCTTTTCATGAAGATTTCATGTAGGTAATCCCAAAATCTCCTCTGCTGTGTTTCATTGTTGTGGATCATGGCAGTGAGAGCTTCTCCCTGGTCCAGACCTTGCCAGTAATCTTGCAGCCACATCTCTTTCCAACTGAAATACCAAAATGAGGGTTGGATTATGGAACTATAGCAGAGCTATCAGTCCTGCCTTTCTCTGAGCAGGGCCAAAGAAATCTTAAACAGATACAGTGGTCTCTAACTTGGACAAGAATGCTGTGAAGGAAAGACAATGTGAAGTAAATCCAGTATTAGCAGAAGTGACAGGCAGTAAGCCACAAACACAAAGACATCACACAGCCTACGCGATGAATTGCAATTCCTGACTTGCCTGCTTCTGGCTCCCAAATATGGAGGGAGTTCAGAGACAGGCAAAGCAGAGAGCAGACTGGAAGTGGTCTCCCTAAGGAAAGCAAGGGGGCAGGGGTCTTTAGATGATTATCTTATAAGTTTCACCTTTACCCCAATAATCAAAATGAAGGTGCATCAAAATGAAGTGGCATCTAGTATCAAGAAAAGATGTAACCTGAATATTTATTTTCTTAGTATTTTACTTTTTTTTTTTTTGAGACAGAGTCTTGCTCTGTAACCAGGCTGGAGGGCAATGGCGTGATCTTGGCTCACTACAACCTCCACCTCCCAGTTCAAGTGATTCTTCCGCCTCAGCCTCCCCAGTAACTGGGACTACAAATGTGCACCACCATGCCTGGCTAATTTTTCTATTTTTAGTGGAGACAGAGTTTCACCATGTTGGCCAGGATGGTCTCAATCGTGACCTTGTGATCTATCTGCCTCAGCCTCCCAAAGTGCTGGGATTACAGGCATGAGCCACCACACCGGGCCAATGTTTTACATCTTTTCATACTTTTCCTCTAGTAAATCATGTTATATTCAGATACAAACAATTTGTAGTTAGATACAAATTATTTGGTGAAGACCAACCATCGGGACAAAACTGCCAGCAGCATATATTAATAAATGGTCTTCTGCTGCCATCCACTGTCCAAGTCGGTCTCAGGAAGCCATTCTAGCAGCCTTACTTCAGCTTAATAATCTTATCACCTCCCACCCAACAGGTGTGGCTTGCTGCAAGTGGCTTCAACATTTTCCCACCCCACACCTCATGCTGGCCTTGTTTCCCAATACCACCACCTTTTGCGACCTACTACAGTAGCCTAATTCGCTTCCCTCTGATGCACATTGCACATCATTGTGTGTGTGTGTGTGTGTGTGTAAGAGAGAGACAGAGACAGACACAGAATCTTATTCCAATCCTGGCTGCAGTGGCATGATCCTGGCTCACTACCGCCTTGAACTCCTGGGTTCAAGCAATCCACCGGCCACAGCCTCCCAAGTAGCCAGGACTACAGGCATACACCAAACCCCCCACCGGGCTTTTATTTTTTTAAATTGTAGATACAGGGTCTTGTGACATTGTCCAGGCTGGTCTGGAACTCCTGGCCTCCAGTGTTCCTCCCACCTTGACCTCCCGAAGTGCTGGGATTACACGCGTGAGTCACCGTGCCCAGCCATGCCTGGCTTTTCTAGTTACACAGGCAGTGTGTCCTCACATGCACCAACCACATGGGGCTCATCCTCAGCACAGCCACTTAAAAAAAATTATGCCTGGTTAACAGGTGTAAGCCCTGACTATTGCAGAAAAGCCTCCCTCAAAATGATCTCTACTCCCCACTCCCATTTCTACTCTATAAAAGGTGCTCAAATAGCTGAGTTGATTGTCAGTACTGTCCAAACTCCTGAGCCTGGTATTCATGATATTTATAGCCTGGCCCCCATTTATTTGCCCCATTTTCTCTCTCCCTTATCACCTCTGTGCTCTGGTTCAATCCTTTTTTGAACCACTACTGGAAACATTGTCTACATAAGCTGATTTTCATATGTTGTTGCCTTGGATTATCAGCTATTCAGCTTTTTCAGCTTGCCTTATCCCCCCAACTAGACTGTTGACACCTTAAAAGCAGAGTGAGCCCATGTCATAACTTCCTCCTGCACCTGCTCAGCACCTAGTGCTAGTTCATTGCCCACAGTAAGCAAGTAAATAAATGATTTGATGGCCGCAGGGGACCCCAGGACTCTTACCTGTCGTTCTCAGGAATCTCTTCCACATTGCCAAAACCAGGTGTGGGCATTGGGCAGTCCATGTGTGAGGGTTGGGCAATGTGGGGCTCAGGGATGGGACTGTCGCCGGGAGAGGCCGCGTGGGCTTTCTCGGCATCCAGTCGAGCCAGTTCATGGTCACAGACGAAACACTCGAAGCCGTTGAGGTAGTTAGGCAGCAAAGGATCATTCAATCCCCACTCCCGATGCTTCAGACTATCCAGAAGGAATTGGTTGGTGATGCCCCCAGGTTGCTTGTATGCCAGGTATTTCATATATTCCTCATCATTCTTGTCCAGAAAGTCAATAAACTCTGCCAGCTTCTGAGGAGACTCAAAATCATCAATCAGGATGATGGAATGATTGTTCGGCATCCAGTCTCTCACAGAGGGAGAGCCGCGGTACACAGGCACAGCGCCCAGATGCATGGGACGCCACAGTTTTTCTGTCATGTAGTCGTTACAGATAGCATTTTCCAGGGCCAAGTGGAACTTATAGCGGGACAAGAAGGCCAAGAGCTCTGGATCCTCGGTGGTAGCCGTGGCTGTGTCCTGCAGCCGCGCGGTGGGCAGCTCCCGATTCTGCAGGCATTTCCCGTAGGAGTCTACCTGGAACGGGTAGAGTTGGGCGGTTAAGAGGGTGCGGCCGGGAGGCACGAACACCTGGAGTCCTGGCGTCAGCCGGCCCACGCCCCTACCCCCCGCGCTCAGTCTCCTCCAGCCTGCCCTCACTTACCGGGATGTGGCGCATGAGCTCGCGCACGTAGCGGTCCCGGTCCGCGGGCACGTCGCAGTGGGACTGCAAATAGAGCAGCGGCGCGTAGCCACGGCGGCGCCACTCCGCGCGTTCTTGGAGCGGAGGCACCGGGCGGCGCAGATAGGCGGTCCCGGGGAGCCACTGCAGTGACAGCGGGTAGTCTGAGTGGCGACTGAAAGTGGAGGTAAGATTGAAGAGGCGGATGCCCGGGCCGTGGCTCAACAAGAAGTTGTTAAGGGGCGACTCCTCGTGCAGGAGCGCCCAGCTCTGGTGTGCCAGGCGCGGCAGCGGCGCGTCAGACGCGCGGAAGTCGGTGCCGTAGAAGAGCAGCGCGCGCGTCCGCGAGTCCCTCAGCGCTCGGCGGTTCCGGGACGCCACGCACGCGCCGCGCGCACAGTCGATGCGCTCCGAGTCTCCTGGGAAGTGAGGGAACAGGCCTGGGCTCCACCACAACAGCACTGGCAAGTCCCCTGCCTCCTCCCTCCCTGGCCGCGGGGTCCTGGGGCTGCGCGTCATCCCCACCGCGCCCAGCGCGGATGGCGGCCGAAAAACCGCGCCATCCCATGGTTCCACCCACTCCGCCTCCCCGCCGGTTTCCTTCTCCACCACGGGCCCAGAGCCGCTGGCTGCATAGACACTGAGCACCCCCAGGAGGGCCAGCACCGCCCCAGTGGGGCCGTCCGCCATGTCCACTCTGGCAGCCGGCCCCCTCGGCCAGCTCGGGACTCCGCCCAGCGGCGAGTCGTGATGGAACGATACGCCACTGGGGCAGGCGGCGCATGCGCAGCTCCGCTCAGCCGACGGCCAGAGCTAAAAGCAAAGAGCTTTTGGCAGTAAAGATGAGGCTAATGGTTACATCTTAATTTATTTTATTTCTTTACAAATTAAAGATGCATTGAAAAATAAACCAATGAAGAGAAATGATAGGTCCAGAGCAGGGGCACCCCAGGCAGGGAGCAGGCAAGCCTGGCCACCATCAAGTCTAGCCCTTGTCCTGCCCCCAACCAGTTGGGGTTGGAAGATAACTCTCAGCCACTCAGTCAATACCAAAGCCCAAGCGGTGTCCCAGCGGGAGAGGACGACGCTCCAGCTGCCTCTGCCTCTCTCCCCAACAACCCCGGGCCTGGAGATGCAGTGTTTCTCGTGGGAGCTCAGAGTGGGACGTGAACTGGCTCTGTGAGGTATTGCAAGTTGATGACCAGGCTCCCTACAGAACCCTCCAGTGTTGGGTCCTCTCCAGCTGGAAAGGAGGCTGGCACCTCTCCAAGGTCTTAATATATTTTGCAAGTCAGGTCTCAGGTCATTCACCTCTGACAGTGTGCCTCTCTATCCATGGAGCGATCATCAGTCATTGCAGGAGAGAGAGCAAGCAAGCGAACAGTGGAAGCAGAAAAACCACCACCCTCAGTGACTGACTTGACTGCTAACCTCCAGGCCCAAAGACTGGTCACTTTTCTCTCCACCACCAATGGGCTATACTCCAGCTCTTGTGCACCTGTATGTTTTATCCCTAATATAGGAAGTTGCTGATGACACTGAGCTGAATTAGCCGCCCCTGTAGTATCCTTAGGATGCCCACTCTTTCCTGCCTGCCCCTCTCTTCTTGGAGGCTGGTCCAAAGGGACACTTAATATTGCCAGGGTCTGGGTGCCTCCAAACCCAATACCGAATCATATTCAGTGAACTGAGAAACTACATTCATTATGACAGGATTAGCAGGAAAAGGAGGGTAGACCGAGGGAACAGGGGCACCTTCTATCAGCAGGACATGACAGAGTGGTAGGATACTTGAGCCCAGAAAGAAGGTGTCTCCTTTTATCTCCCCCTCCCCGCAAAGAGACTGAGGTCGGCTTACATAAGATATGGTATTGTCCTAATTTCTCTGACATCCTGGGGTGCTTTCTGGAAGCTGGCCTGGGACCCTATGCCATTTACCCACTTGCTTTAGCTCAGTAGCTGCCGAATTTCCTTGTGCATATGACAGAGAAAGTCCACATAGGATGCTCCCCCACTCAGACTCTTGTCTTCCACCAGGAAGTGCTTGAACAGCATCTCCAGCTTGTCCTCCTGTTTCACCACGATAAGCTATGGCCAGAATACAGGGTTCATGAGGCAAGGCCAAAGGAAATTAAACATGCCCAGAAATCCCATTATGCAGTCACTTATTCATTCCCTGCCCTACCCCAACTTCCAGGTGAGGACAAGGTAAGAAATCCAGGGTTCAGATCAGTGTTACCTTCATGTACCGTGATCTCTGTGCTCTTAAGCTATCAATGAGGCCTCGAACCTTCTTGGACAGTGGATTATCCAGAACTGGCAGAACACTCTAGAACAGAAAATTCATTTATCCTTATGGTAAGGAACTCTGCAGTAAAGGTAGGGAGGCACATATCTATGCATCATCTGAAACAAGGAAGTCTGGGAAGAATGACAGCAACTGCCCTCATCCCCAAGTGTTCCCTGATATTTGAGGCGACTAGCATATTAACTTTACTGGCTTCCAATCATTTCACAAAGTATACTACCACACACATATTCTCCTTGACTCCCTGCCCTCACCAAGCCACTGGTGATCTGACTGAAGGAGGAGACGCTGAAAAGGCTCTGGACAACACCCTGTTGGACGCTTGCTCCCACCCAGAGGAAAAGGTTGAGCCCATTCTCCAGCAAGTATATATCCCCATTGCTTAGACGCTCTTCAGAGGCTCGAACTGCTGTTGGTTCGGTGGTACTCTCAATGGGAGATTTTGTCTAGACAAGGAAGGAAGAAAAAGGTTACTAAGGACCATAAGACAAGTCTGCCCCCCACCACACACAAAATTCTGAAAGCTAAGTCCTCAGACACCACCCCTTATGGAGTCTTAGTAACTCTCTCAGTGTGAAAATTGTATCAGCTAAAATACATAAAAACAAATTCCACTAGTGTCAGATATTAGCCTATCCTTTCCTCCTTCTAAGAGGCCCTTTGCTCCGTGCAATATCTCATACTCCAACCCTCAATCACACCAAAGGTAGGAGCCGAGGGTAGAAGAAGACATTGGTCTCAGCCACATCCATGGAGGTAACTAGCTGTCGGACATAGGCACGGTCATCAGTAGTGACTTCAGCTCCAGGCTGCAGGACATCACTCTTCAACACACAGTTCAGGTAAACTGGGAGTAGCTTCATGCACTCAGGAAGGATCAACTGAGGGGGTTATCAAAAAAAAAAGTCAATGATCATGAGAAATCCTTCCCAAATGCAAACATCTGTCCCAACAAGCCCACCTCCCACTAATATACTTGCCCCACCTGTCCTGCAGAGGAGGGGCTAGCGCAGTTCTTTCTGTAACAGGCCAGAATCTGGGCACACTGGGTGATGAGAGTGTCACGAACAGCCTTCACAGGGCTATTCAGGACTCCCCGATATGCTGGATGGGAAAGTGAAGATAGTCACTGGTCAGCCACCCATCATATGTGCTTTCCTACCATCACAACTACCCACTGACCATCCTGGACCTCTCGGCCCCAGTCCCACCATTCCCTGCCTCTACCCTCACCAAACTTGGCCATGTAGTTGATGAGTGTGTCAGTCTCACAGTTTCGATACAGATCAGCCAGCTGGGTGCAGCAGTTCAGGGCCAGGTTATGGATGCGGAGCCGACGCTGCCCTGCACAGCTGGTATAAAGCAGGGCACACTAGGGGAAAGGAAAAAGGGGGAACTCACATCCCTCCCTCACAGAGGCCCTTTGCCACATTATTAAACTAGAAGAAATGAGCCACTCCCCTGCCCAGTCTCTTCCAGTCCTCTCTATCCATGCCTCACCCTCTTCTATACTCAGCTAATGACACACTTCCTGCCCAGCCCCGCCTCCCGCCTGCCACCTGCAGGAGGGCTCCGCTCTCTTCATTGAGCCGATCATCATGCTTGAACTCCACAGTCACCGTTTTGTCCCCATCTAGCCCAGCCAGCTCCACATCTGTCGTGTTGCTCATGTAGAAAGCTCCAAAGAAATCTACAGCACGGATACCTGAGGCCACATGGACAGCGTCATGGCAAAACGTATGACAAGTGCCACATGCCTCCCTCCCAGATTTAGCCCCCCACCTGCTCTTTTCCAACCAGGACTGACCAGTACTTGTCCGGACTCGCATCACAGCATCAAAGCCAACAACCTTCTGGACATCACGACGCAGGTCACTCAGGAACCGCTCCTGGTCATTCTCCACCTGCAGGCCCCCAGGCCCAGAGTCATATCACTGACTAAACATAGCTCATCCTGCGGACAATCTCCCTGTACCCCTTCTACTCTACAAGGCCACTTAATTATCATCATAATAACAGTGAAGATAATGATGATGACAATAATAGCTTTTCAACACTTAGACTGCATGCCAGGTACCACAGAATGCTTTATATATGATTATTTAATTCTGTACACAAATCCTAATTAAGTATTTTAACCCCATTTTGCAGATGAAGGAACAAAAGAGGGAATACTTAAGTAATTTATCCTAGGTCATGTAGCTAGTAAGTGGTAGGGCCAGAATATCAATGCAGGACTGATTCCAAGGCCCATGCTCCTAACTGCTGCATTCTCAGGCTCATTTCTTTATGCTATTTGGTCTTCTCTTCCAATACTACTTCTTTTTTTTTTGGAGACAGAGTCTCACTCTATGGCCTAGGCTGGAATGCAATGGCATGATTTCGGCTCACTGCAACCTCTGCCTCCCAGGTTCAAGGGATTCTCCTGCCCCTTCCTCCCAAGTAGCTGGGATTACAGGTGCCCACCACCAAACCCAGCTAATTTATTTTTAGTAGAGATGGGGTTTCGCCATGTTGGCCAGTCTGGTCTTGAACTCCTGACATCAGGTGATCTGCCTGTCTCAACCTCCCAAAGTGCTGGGATTACAGGCGTGAGCCACCATGCCTGGCCCCAACACTATTTCGATTAATGAGTCAACCACTCCATATATAAGCAGATATTCCCAACCCTGCTGCCACCTGCCACCCAGAATCCCACGCCATACCTGAAAGCAAGCATATTTGTAGACAGAGCCACCAGTGAGCTGGGGCACAACAGAGAGTGTGGCCACATCCACATACTGGTTAGGGAAGAGGAAGAGATCTATACAGCAGCCTTGGGCCACACACTCTTTGGCCAGCGTCTGATAGGCACCTGTCTGAGGCTGGAACAGAGTCTGGGGAAGAGCAGAAGAAAATGTTCAAATATTTCAGCTCCGCCCTATTTGAGAACTGTGTATCTAACATGAGATATTCAAATTCATGGAAGACTTCAGATGTAGGATTTTGCAATAGTAGTAAAAAAGTTCTCTTTTACATCATTTTTATTTTTTTGAGACAAGGTCTCACCCTGTCGCCCAGGCTGGCACATAGTGGCATGATATCAGTTCACTGCAACCTCTGCCTCCCAGGTTCAAGCGATTCTCCTGCCTCAGCCTCCCAAGTAGCTGAGATTACAGGTGTGTGCCACCACACCTGGCTAATTTTTGTATTTTTAGTAGAGACAGGATTTTGCCATGTTGGTCAGGCTGGTCTCAAACTCTTGGCCTCAAAAACCCATCCTTCGTGGCCTCCCAAAGCGCTGGGATTACAGGCATGAGCTACCATGCCCGGCCAAAAGTTCTCTTTTAAAAAATAAATAGAAGAGTCTACCAACAGCATTGGCATGGAATGGAGTAGAGAGGTGTGGCAGCAGTGGAAGTTGGCAGTCACAGATATGGTTTTGAAAGGGTGGAGTGTCTGATCCTAGCCCCTATCAAGAAAGTAGAGTCCCCACGTCTTCTGTAATAA